TACGCTTCTATGGGACGCACGCAGGACGGGGGTACGCTTCTATGGGACGCACGCAGGACGGGGGTACGCTTCTATGGGACGCACGCAGGACGGGGGTACGCTTCTATTCTATGGGGCGCACGCAGGACGGGGGTACGCTTCTATGGGGCGCACGCAGACAGGGTTCTCTCTACAGGGTCTCCCCCTATGTGTCCAGTGCCCCCTTTATGAGCTGCACAGGAGATGACAGGGCCATCAGTAGATGAGCACAGTGAGGTGTCAGGACTGGGCGGGGCAGTGACACACATGGGGTCTCCCCATCCCATACACAGTCAATCTGATGGGACCCTCCAATGTTTACACCCAGAACACAGGGAGGAGGGGCAGGCACGCAGCCATGATGCTCCGGGATCCTCTCTCGGCTTACAGAGCAGAAGGTGACCGACGCTGACGTGTGCACCGAGCACACCACATGACACCCGCAGATACTTGCCGTTCGATGCGGGCTCCATGACCAGGCAGGGCTGTGTCTCCGCTCCGGGTGCCGGCTGTCTCTATGGAGGGTCAGTGCGGGGTGACGGCCCCTAGTGGTCAGCCATCATGGTGGAGTACAGGAGCCCCGCTCTCCGTGTCAGTACTGGGACGCAACAAGCACAGGCTGCCTCTGGAGGAGGAGGAGGGTGGTCTGCCCGGACAGCACACTTCCTCTCCCCTCCCTGCCAGCCTCCACCACCACCACTCCCACCAGGCACCACGGCCCCGCCCACCAGCCTATCTCCTATCTGACAGTCACTATGCCTCCTCCCACCAGCGCTGATAAGAAATGATGGCCCCGCCCACCAGCCTATCCTTTGCTTTCCCTACCCCGCTGATAAGCACGATGTCCCCGCCCAGCAGCTTCTCTCCTCCCAGCCATGGGCCGTATCCCCGCCCACCTGCTTTGACAAGCGGCAGGCTCGTCGAACGCGCAGCCAGGAGAGGATTTAACCCTTCAGTGGACAGTCAGTGACACAGAGTGGAAATCAGCAGGTACTCCCGTCCCTGGCCGCACATTGGTCCGTCAGTGCCTCTAAGCTGCAAGGGGTGAACATAGAATATCTGTCCCTCCTCCATGTATGCATCATCTCTCTGCTACACTGACACTTCCCTGTGCTGTGTACACTGATGTCTGCTACACGAAGGTAATGTGTATCATTGTGCGTTTACTCGGATCCAGTCCCTGGATCTGTACAGATGATGTGTGCTGTGCTCATACAGGGGCAGGGAACACGATCCTCCATCACTTCAGCCATCCTTCCTTCCTGTTCAGCCATCAGGAAGTCCTGTGTAGGTGGGAACCTTACACATCGGCCAGCACTGTCACATGGAGGGGTCACATGATCCACCCATACCTGGAAGTACGTGCTATGTCCTTGTGCTCAAAGCTGAGCTCCAGCCAAATATTTTCCCATACATTGGGACTGTGCCTGCACTGCATGGGTTAACTGATCCTTTTTTCTAAGGGAGAGGAGATATACGTACCTGATCCTCCCAGCACCAGACTGGTCTAACCCCCCCCCCCCCCCCCCCCCAGCGGTCTTGAATAATGGACTGTTCCTGACATCATCACACCCAGAGCATGCTCCATAGACTGGAGAAGTCCACCACTGGACCATGGGGGAGGGCCCTTTTCTAAAGGAAAAAGCAATCTTCCCATCCATCCATGGCTCCATGCTTTATTTTACTGAGAAATCATGTTGAAAAACACCCCCCTAGCCATGGCCATCTTGAGTAAGGGCAAACAATTCCTGTAGCATTTACTTTCTGGAATCCATCCGCCCTTAGCTCAGGTATGCAGGCAGGAGGGTGTGCTTAGCTGAGAAAAAAACTCTCCTCCAAATAAAAGGAAAAATAATTCCCATGAATAATCCTGGGATGTATGACATCATTTTGGCTAAGGCTGGCCATACATGATAGAATTTACTTTAGAAGTTTGCTTTAGATTTACCAAAAACCATATAATAGGAGGTCAAACCTAAACAACACGTTCAGTTGTATCCAATTAGGCTGACACTTGTGCTACATAGTTGGAGGTAAATCTAAAGGAAATTGGACAGAAAATTGTATAGTGTATGGCCAGCCTTAGGCTAGAAACCAGGAAGCAGCTGAAGAGAAGTGAAGTAAAAAAAAGAAAAGAAAAGGGATTTGCTTCCTCGTGTGACAGCTGCCAGGAAGGAGAACAGTGAGCAGTACAATATTCACCCCTCCACATCCTATGAGACTAGCAGCAGTACCTTAAGGTGGGAATGCACGATTAGAAAATTGACCGATCGGTCATCTGACGACGTTCGTTCGTTGGCTGAAATCGTGGCCCACATTAACCAATCTAAAAAAATCGTTCGTCAGGCAATACGTAGTGTTGACGTTTTCCATACAATGGAAGTGATGCAGTGTGCATATGACCTTGTAGCCACGCCCTTCCGGCCAGAACAAGCAATATACACAACAATTACCAGCAATGAGTATAATATAGATTATTACATTACCTGTATACATAAATAGTGATACATAAAATATAATATGCAGAATTCTGGTTTCATTATCTCATTAGGCCAATCTACTTTTAACATTTGGATTTTTCGTTCGTGTTTACAAAGATTCCTTGGACATAAACATCCGGGTCATCTTCTGTTTCCGCTCATGCGTGATAGCGCTTGATAGATTTTTTCCGTACGACCGTCATACCACCGCATAGAAAATTGTTCGTTCGTATGCAAAACGACAACATTTTTAACTGTTGTTCAACCAGATTTTTTCCTTCACAATATCGTTATCGGTTTAAAACATCCTGCTCAAGAGAAAATCATTCGATCAGTGGTTCCGCTAAATTTTTCGTACAATTTTCTTATCGTGTGTACAGGGCATTAGTCTTTCCTGTTGTGAGGCAATAGTCACAGGAGTGCCTAGGCACACTCCCATACCAGGAAGTGCATTGCTATTTATCAAGAGGAATTCAAGGAAACAGATTTTGCATGGTGCTGCTTAAGCATAACCAACATTTCCCTAAAGCAGAGCAAATCTTTACTTTTGAGTTCACGTTCAGATTAAACCTATGTAGGAAACTGATTTTTATTTTGCCGTAAGTTGTGGGGCTCCTGGAGAATGGCTGCCTACTCAGTTTTGAATATAATAGGGAAGAGTTTATTTTTGCTGTGTCCGGGGAGATTTCCTTTTACTTCCTGTTCTAGAGATGCAACAGGAGCTAACAGGAACTGGGGAAATCTCTGCTCAGTGACAGAAAATCCTCTCTTAAGCTAGGTTTACACCTATACAGTTTGTGCTTGATCCGTTTCTGCAGTGTTTTTTCAGTACGTTTTTGCACATGCGTTTTTTTATGCGTTTTGCATTTTTTTTCCAACTTCTTGTTGGGCAGATTAAAATGCAAAACACATAAAAAATGCACTACATGCATTTTTGCAGCATCTCCATTGAAGTCTATTGAACCAAAACGCAACGTTTTGTGTTTACAAAAGTCCCTGACCCTTTCCAAAAACTGCACCGGGTGTGAATGTGCCCATAGGAAATCATGTTAAATAGACTGTAGTGGGTTTCTGCAAAATGCAAAACACTAAGTCCTCATGCACATTGGGTGTTTTGATAACACTGGTAACGTTACCTGTGTAAAGTCACATTAAAACGTGAGTTTTTCAGCTTTTTTTTTAGCGCTTTTGCATTATCGTTTAGCTGCGTTTTGCCGCAAATTTCATTTTTTTAACGTGGTTTTTTTTAAAAAAAAAAAATATTTTGGGGGGTAAAAAAAAAGTCCAAAAACGCCGGTTTGAGGTGTTTTACTGCATTTTGCCATGTTTTTCAGCATTTGAGTGTTTTTACAGCTAAAAAAACTCCTCTAGAAACCCATTAGTTCTGGGTTTTTTTCCAGCCAAAAAACGTCCCAGCCAAAAAAAATGTTGTGGACTTACCCCTCTCTGTTCTGGTGACGTCTGTCATCAAAACCAAATGTAATGGGAAATCTGGAATTTTAAAGTTGTCACAGAACAAGAAGTGAAGACAAGGCCTCCAATGGGGACACCTATTCTGATGACAACCAAGTCTAGGTTGCACACTTGACGTTTTTACAGCTACTGTTTTTGGCATTTTTTTCTACAGCCAGTAAACCCCCCAGCATGTTAACCTATGTGTCCATACACACACAGACTGTAATCAGCGTTTTTTTTTCCAAAAAAAAAAAAAAACAGAACTAGTGGGTTTCTAGAGGAGTTTTTTAGCTGTAAAAAAAAACGCTCTAACGCGGTAAACCGTGGCATTTTTGGCGTTTTTTTTTGGAATTTGTTTTACCAAAAAAAACTCTAAAAAACACAAATGCGGTTAAATGCTAATGCAAAACCCTAAAAAATGCTGAAAAACTCAAGTTTTTAACGTGACATTACACAACCAATATTACCAGCGTTATTATAACGCCCAGTGTGCATGCAGCCTTATACTCGATCAACTAAAATCTGCAAGATTAAATTACAGACAAAATTGATTCCACAACCAACCACATCTAATGGTGTATGGTAAGTAGTGGAAAAAAAAAGCAGCAAAGAAACAAAAGACAGGAGACAAAGGAAACAAAAGACAAAAAAGACAAACCAAAAAAGGATGACTATACCTGTGGTAGGACGATTACCAACATTATCCAAAATGTAATAAAAAAAAAAATAGTCACCTAGTTCTATAAAATCTCTTGTAGGCAGATTTGGCTATGTCAACACTGTGTATTGCAGCCTGCCATCATGATTCCCTACACTTCCTTGTATGTTGGGGAGGTTGTAATAGACAGCATATATTACAATGTCATATTCAGTGCAGTTCAGAAGTTGAGGATTCCAGCAATCATACATTTTGTGCAAAGGTATTTGTAACCATCAGTCATATACACTATATTGCCAAAAATATTGGGACACCCCCCTCCAAATCATTAGATTCAGATGTTCCAATCACCTCCATGGCCACAGGTGTATAAAATCAAGCACCTAGGCATGCAGACTGCTTCTACAAACATTTGTGAAAGAATGGGTCACTCTCAGGAGCTCAGTGAATTCAAGTGTGGTACTGTGATAGGTTGCCACCTGTGCAATAAGTCCATCCATGAAATTTCCTTGCTACTAAATATTCCACGGTCAACTGTTAGTGGTATCATAACAAAGTGGAAGCAACTGGGAACAACAGCAACTCAGCTATGAAGTGGTAGGCCACGTAAAATTACAGAGCGGGGTCAGTGCATGCTGAAGAGCACAGTGTGCAAAGTCACCAACTGTCTGCAGAATCAATATCTAAAGAACAGATTGGGGATGGCCCCTTCCTGTTCCAACATGACTGCACACCAGTGCACAAAGCAAGGTCCATAAAGACAGGGATGAGCGAGTTTGGGATGGAAGAACTTGACTGGCCTGCACAGAGTCCTGACCTCAACCCGATAGAACACCTTTGGGATGAATTAGAGCCGAGACTGTTAGCCAGGCCTTCTCATCCGGCATCAGTGCCTGACCTCACAATTGTGGCTTCTGGAAGAATGGTCAAACATTCCCATAGACACACTACTAAACGTTGTGGACAGCCTTCCCAGAAGAGTTGAAGCTGTTATAGCTGCAAAGGGTGGGCCAACTCAATATTGAACCCTATGGACTGAGACTGGGATGCCAATAAAGTTCATGTGTGTGTAAAGGCAGGCCGACCAATACTTTTGGCAATATAGTGTACATTTGCACCTTTAGTCAGTCTAGAAAAATGTTTTCCTTTACAACCTTTAAGCAGTTGGTTTCCAGGCCCTGGACCTCAGGTATGTAGTAAAAGACTCCACATTAAACCTTGTTCTCATGGTCGTACATAAGCATACACCCATGTGAGGGCTGTGTTTGCCTGCATTGGATGCATGGGTGTTCTGTACATCCCCGAATTTTCCAGCATGTCGATAAACAAAGTGGGGAGGAACCACGAAAATCGGCCGGTTACATTGCCCCACTAACAGAGCTAAAATCGGCCGATTATTCTTAGGTCTGATTTTCATGCGAAAATCGTTCGGAAATCGACCCATGTATGGCCAACCTTAGTTTGGAGACACACACCTGCATGGATGTCAGATTGGGAGCAGTGACTGTGTCCATGCTGCTGCTGCATCCAATTCGGTATCACAGGTATACGCTTAACTACGTCTGAATGAATGAGGCCTTATAATGACATAACTTCATATTTTCTCCAGGCTCTGTGCTCTATTTAGAGTATATGTCACCTCGGCCTTGGGACAACTTTATATGCTGCGCTGTCCTTACAGTGACATCATGTTTCCTTAAACTTTCTCCTGAATAGTTGTATGCCTGGCTGCAGAGCCTTTTCCCTGTGCAGATATTGTGAGTAGTAGTATTAAATCCAGTGTAACTAAAAACAAAAATGTAATATAGTGCAACTTACCAGTCTTTAGGCCACGTTCACACTAGCCTGCAAACCATTTACCTGTAGGGTAGTGTAGTGCCAGCTCTGGCAGGGAACAGTGTGGGCACACGATTCAATGTATCAAACTGCTTTTTTTTTTCCTTTTTTCTGTGCAACTTTTTTTGAAGAGTCACTTCATGTCATTGAACAGTATCACCATGCATTGTGCTAACATCCAGTGACGCTGCATTTTTCCACACTGCATTGCTCATCTCACCAGTGTTGCAGTGAGAACAGAGGACCTAGAAATGACCTGTGTTAAAAACGAACGAATGAGCCCTTAGATTTGATGGCCGCATTCTTTTTCATTTTTAAGCTTTTTTCCCCTCCTTTATATTCACCTGGTGATCTGACTAGTAAGTGTGTTCATTTTCAACTGTCCAGCAAAAATGACAGTTAGGGGATGGAGGCAAACCATTTAACACTGACAGGGTTACTTGCAATGGCCAGTGTTTATTAATTTATGTAAAAACTTTATCCCAAAAGAAACATTTTTATTCTGTAACTACAAGTGTTAGTTGGAGTGTGGCATTCATTTGTTAGTCATTTATAAGTAAACTCCACTCAAATCTGCTAGTCCATCTAACTTCTTTCCATCTAACTGCTAGTCCATGTAACTTCTCCCTACTCTCCGCAGACAGTGTTGCAGTCCAAGGGTGTCTCCGTAGCTCCTCCATAGAGGAGACACCCTAAAACAGGAAATGTGGTAGTGGTCAGATCACCAGGTAAAAATAAAGGAAAAAAAGTCTAAAAAAAAACTAATGCAGCCACCCTTGGTAAATTGCAATATATATATATATATATATATATATATATATATATACACATACTGTGTGTTTATGTATATATACTGCTCAAAAAATTAAAGGAACACTGTTTAATGAGAGTATAGCATCAAGTCAAATAAACTCCTGGGATATTGATCTGGTCAGTTAAGTAGCAGAGGGGGTTGTTAATCAGTTACATCTGCTTTGGTGTTAATGAAATTAACAACAGGTACACTAGATGGGCAAAATTGAGATGAACCCCAAAATAGGAATGGTTTTACAGGTGGAGGCCACTAACATTTTTTCCCTACTCATCTTTTTTTAACTGTTTTTCACTAGTTCTGCATTTGGCTAGGGTCAATGTCACTACTGGTAGCATGAGGTCATACCTGGACCCTACAGAGTTTGCACAGCCACTGGTGCCCTGTACTTTTCACAGATTAGAGCAGGTTCATCCTGAGCACATGTGACAGACGTGAAAGGGTCTGAAGTAGCCATGGTGAACGTTATGCTGCCTATAACATCATTTAGCATGATCGTTTTGGTGGTGGGTCAGTGATGGTCTGGGGAGGTATATCCATGGAGGGACGCACAGACCTCTACAGGCTAGACAATGGCACCCTGACTGCCATTAGGTATCAGGATGAAATCCTTGGACCCATTGTCAGACCCAACGCTGGTGCAGTGGGTCCTGGGTTCCTCCTGGTGCTTATATGGTGAAAGTATGCAGGCAGTTCTGGAGGATGAAGGAATTGATACCATTGAATGACCCCCACGCACGCCTGACCTAAATCCAATAGTACACCTCTGGAATATCATGTTTCGGTCCATCCGATGCCACCAGGCTGCACCTCATTGTCCAGGAGCTCAGTGATGCCCTGGTCCAGATCTGGGAGGAAATACCCCAGGACACCATCCATTATCTCATTAGGAGCATGTCCCGACGTTGTCAGGCATGCATACAAACACGTAGGGGCCATACAAACTACTGAGTACCATTTTGAGTTGCTGCAATGAAATTTCAGCAAAATGGACTAGTCTGCTGCATCATTTTTTCACTTTCATTTTCAGGGTGTCTTTGAATTCAGTCCTCTGTAGGTTGATAATTTTCATTTCCATCAAACGATGGGGCATCCTTACATTCCTAACACATTGCCCAGTCCATATCAGTATAGATATCATATATATATATATATATATATACCAGGATTGTGTATAAAACTGACAGGCAGACTCCTGCTTGTCAGGTGGAAGCAGGCGGGTGGCTGCACTGCCGCCCAATCGCTTCCACAGCCCCCAGTACAGGGCCCCCCTGTACATACAGTCCCGCCATGTATTTGGGCCCCACTTGCCTATATGTGGACCCGGAGAGAGACATGGCGAGTTCCGACAGGTGGAGGGGAGGCAGGAAAGTGGGCGAATGTCTGCTCTCCTCCCCTTCTTTCTGTAACCCAGAAGTCAACGTCCGGGTCACCTCTGTCACTAGCACAGCTGAGAAGCAATGTATTACAATGCGGTGTGCATTGCAATACATTGATTGGAGGCCAGAGGAGACATGCAAGGTCCTTTTAGACCCTGCATGTCTCAATAAAGAGAACCTGTCACCTAAAAAATCATCACATAGGGGACTCTGTGTCCCCTCTGTGATGGAAAAAAAAGTCAAGTAAAAACATTTTTTATTGCAAAAAAATAAAGTTACACCCAAGCACATAACATCCCCTCCACCACAAAAAATTTTTTTTGAGCCCCACCCCCACATACAAACAGATACAAAAGTAAACACACACATCAGGGCACCTACACATGAAAACACCAATTGCAATACACATGTTACATGTTGCCGCGCACGCCAGAGTGAATTCTAGCACAATACCTCCTCCGTAACCCTAAACTGATGACCTGGAGGGGCTTTTGAAGCGTTGCCTACTAAAAATATATAGCGAAAGGGCTAAAACTCAAATGGTAATAATGTATCTATCATACAGAAAAGTTTTGCAAATTTCCAAGCCTAGGAACAAATAATAAAAAGCAAAGTGCGTATTTTTTTCCATACCCACTTACATTTCTTGTGCCATGTGTTCTTTTGCAGCTGATGTCTCACGATGCATATTAATGCCCTTGCAGTGTAATATACTCAAAGAAGAAAAAACAGGTCAGTTATCTGCTGATCATTTTGTTTTCTGAAAACAACTTGCACATATATTATGTACACTATGCGACCTAGTTTTCAAGGCATTTTCTTTCACTTTTGTCTATTGGAATCAAACTCCTAATCTGTATATACCGAGTATGTAGTGCTTGGTGTAGATAAAGTAACAGGCACGCTGCACAGCTGTCACCTTAAAGTAACCTGCTGTTATCTTAAAGCAGGATAGGCTACATAATAAATCAACTTTGAAATGTTGCCTCCCCATTACTCTACGTGCATTTTATAATAAATCGCAATGTAAATTAATGTTTTATTTTATGTGGTCAAGTGACCACGAAGCTTCAGCTCTGTTTCCTTTCTGTGTGGCTTGTGGGCATGACTTGGACTCATTCCTCCACCAACAATGCCTAGAGTTGTGGATTATGGTGGGTGACTATCACTGTACTATGTGATTCAGCCTGATTGTTGGCGCTTGTCACGTATCTGGTGGTAGAGCCTGAATTGAAGAGGAAGGCCTCTCTTACAGCATCGGCTCAAGGGCCACTGGTATTGAGACAGTGGTAGCAAGAGCACGGTGAGGTAAAGGCTCCTGCAGCATGTTCAGCAGACTGTGCAGGTAGGTAGCCGGCACTTTGCCAAAGATGAGCCATATGGAAGAGACAGCAGATAGTGGACAGGTGCAGAATATACAGAACTGACAAGCAGCAGACTGGCTGGTGCTTGGCTAGCAGGTGACAGGTTGCTGGTGCTGAGCAAGCTGGTGGACACCAGGTATGTAGGACACCAGTCAGGGAGTAGTTGGTAGACAGGTCAAGGGAGGATGCAGAGCCAGGTGCACAGGGTCAGTAACATAAGATCAGATCAGGCACAAGCGACAGAAAGAAAAGTGGTCAGGACACAGGCTGAGGTCAGCAGTGGTGGAGCAGATCAGGTAAGGCAGGAGCAAAGACAGATTCTAGAGACAAGTCAGGGTCAAGGTAGGCAGCGTTCAAGAGTGGTCA